TACGGCCGGATACTCACCTCAATGGTCCTGAGAGGATTCGAACTGATGACCATTGGGGAACAAACCCAAGACCTGACTAATTGAGCAACCCCTCAAGGTTGATTGGTGGGATATAACTGGATGATATCAAGAAATAAAAAGAAGTGAAATCTTGTTTATTATACTTAGTCTTGTCCAATCCCAATTACCAAACATACACTATATGTTATGTTCCATATCACTGGGATGCAAGATGCAACTGCTCTACGAATGCTTTAATTATGCTTTATTGATACAAGTCATGCCTTGTGTCTTAGGCTGTCGTCTAATTGTGTCCGTTATAAGCAGATAGCTGTAGGTGAAGAGTTGACATATGACTTCCGCTACAAGCTATTGCCCGGAGAAGGATGTCCATGCCTATGTGGATCTTCCAATTGCCGGGGGAGGCTTTATTAAATTATTTGTGGATGCTCGTTCGAGTTTTGCAGCATTCAGAGGCTTCCGCCATCCTGTGGACAATAAAGGACAAGATTTTGAGGCCTGCCGGACATTTCTTGCTGTACCGGAGAGGTAACTGCATGGTTCTTTAATCGCCATAAAATTTTTGAGTCGTGCTTCTGCAGCTTTGGGATTTTCTTACCAATGTGCCATCGTAGTTTTGATCTTTTTATCTGGATCACTGTCATAGAATAACTTATCGCCTTTTCGCTTTGGATCATTGTATTACACTGCTAATTTGTGCAACATAAATGCAGAATTCTCCCCTCATTTTCTTCTTGTAGTACATAAGCCTTCTTGTTTGAGTGTTCACATCTTTTCACTTGTTTCGTTGCTTATTATTAAGTACACACCTATTTCTGACCGAAGTCTACTAGCAATGAGATATACTCCGACTTAGCTGCAGTTATATCGGGTATAGGTAGAGTTGTCAAAATGATCCGATCAATCAAAGCCCAGACCTGGCCCGGTGCCCACTCCGTGTGGGCTTATTTTCAAAATTTTCATTGTTTCAACTAAAATCTATTTCATCGTGCCATCTATTTTGTCACCTCGACTTGAATTCATTTAACATGCTCTTTGAGGTGGTCCTTTTCATGGTCGCGAATGGGACAGGGCTTTTAAAGTCCAAAACACGAGGGCCCGGAAACAGGTCTGGTTGGTGGATAGCCTTTAGTTTGGGAAGGCCCATCCATTATTATTTCTTGCTAATCTCAATTTTCATATCGATTTTTCGTCTTACAACAAATTTCACCTTTTAAGATGGAAGTTTAGAACTCAATATTATCGAGCTTTCAAAACCTAAAACTAGCTTTTGAAACCATTTTATTGTGCAAATTAAAACATGTATATAAAGAAGAAAGTAATCATTGTTCAAATCTAAATGGACACTAGACTTTGGACCTAGGGGTGTCAATGAGTTGAGGCACGAGCCAAACCTCGAAGTTTGGGTTTGACTCGAGTAAAAATGGTTTGGGCTTTTTTTGGTCTGAGCCGAGCAAAAGCCCTGCCAAAAAATTTAAGCTCAACCCGAGCTTTTGGCTCATCCTTAGCAAGACGAGTCGGTTCTATTTTATTATTATTATTATTATTATTATTATTATAAAACGGTAAAACTAGCTGCCTGTGTTGAAGGTAGCTTATTTTTTTTAAAATTTTGCAAATTACTTTTTTTTAAGCTCGTCGAGTCACAAGGATTGGTTCGGGCTCCCAAAATGGGGCTCAGCTCGATCCTCAACTCAGTCCCACCAAGTCATGAGCAGACCCAGCTCGAGCTTTTCTCGGGCCGAGTCACGGGACATCTGAGCCAACGAGCAATATTGACATCTCTACTTGGACCTTATTTCAAATGGGTCACTCAACTTTTCATTTTAAAAAAATGGAAGCTAAAAATTATATTTTGTCTTAGGTGGGTCGTTCTCTTTTATCTCCTTTGCTAATTTGTGTTAGGATTAAAACATTTTCAAGAGATTCTCTAAATGTAAATGCCATTTATTTTATAGAGTTAAAAGCATCACTCAGAGAATCTATTTTTAAAGAGCATATT